ATTTTATTACTTCATGTTTTTTTTTTTGTTTTTTTTCCCCATTGTTTGCAATCTGTCCAGGAGAATAGATCCATCTTGCTGTGCCCTTGCTCTTGTTGTGTTGCCCCAGGTCTTCCCGCCTCATGTTTCCCCACTGGTGTGCACACCAAGCCAGTTTTGTAGCTGTCCTCAATATCACCCAGCTGCCTCTAAAGAAAGTCTCATGTTATGGTCAAATTGATTCCATTTCCCCTGTTGTGGACTGAAGTCCTTTTCCAGTCTGCACCTTAAGACAGTGAAACCAGAGTCTTTTCACTGGACTCACTGGAGAGGCAGCTGATTATTGCTCCAATATGTATTGTTCCAAAGTGTTTTTATAGCCACATGTCTAATACTGTGGTAAACACTACAGTTCACATGTGAACGTAGTTTTGGGACAACTGGAACCTCATAAAATCAGAAACAATGCCTGCCCATTAAAAATGAACTGTGCAGGCATCTTACAGATGACTCCATTGTTGATATGAGAACAGACTTTAGCTGTGTCACTGTGCTCCTTCATAGGTAGAGGGCAGTCATGAGCTTGATCTGTGTCAGTCTTTTCTCCTCACTGAGATTACATAATAGCAGAAGAAGATTTAAAAAGACCAGAGTCCTTTAGGCAAAAGTACTAAACTAACTTCTTGATTCAGTTTTATTGCCACTTTGTGCTTTTTAAACGGGTTACATTTTTTTGTACAATTATAGATAAAAATAGAATAGAATTCAACTTTGTCATTGCACATGTCACAAGTACAAGGCAACAAAATGCAAAATGCAAAAATGTGGGTGTGTGGGCTTGTAATACTTAATTTAAGGTAACGTTCTTTTTGTGTTTGAATGGTTTGAGATATTAAATGTTAAAGTATTACAATCCTGAATAATTACAGATGTTCAGTGTACAAGAATGGGATTTAAATATTCCTCATTTGTGTGTGTGTTTAAAACTCAGTGATTTCCTTTTTTTGTCCTTTTGCAGTCAGAGGTATGAGACGCTACTGAAAGACATGGAAAAGAAATCCGAACAGCATCGAGAAGTGTTGTCAAGTTTACAACAGGAGTTTCAGAAAGCACAGGGCCTCGCTGTGGGCAAAGTCTGATGGAGTGATGTAGCTGCACGCACGCTTACACAAAGTAGTTAATATCATGTAAACCTGCGACACTCTGCTTGTTTCTTGGCATTTCTTTGCAGTGTTATTACTGTGACTTTTCTCTTGATACGAATAAACAATTTTTTTTGTCATGAACCATCACCTTTGCGTTAGTTTTCATTTTAGGGGGCATTTTACCTTTAGGACATGTGCTGCATCCTGACAAATTACACACCAGGCCTGTGCAGCACTCTGTGTTTGTTTCTGTGAACATTTGCCTTAATTACTGGGGCATGCTGGTTGCCACCAGAGCAGATGTTGTCCAGTCACTGACCTCTTCCACAGCTTACAGCAGAGAAAAAAAGCACAGCGGTGCTGCTTTGTTCAACTCAATGAATGTGCGTTCCTCTCCATTTACCACCAGCGGAGGGGTTCACTAATAGTCAAGAAGTGAAGCCTGTCTGAGGGTTTAAAGGAAAAACATATACTCTAAATTAATATAGATATGCGACTAAACTGTTGTCAGCCAGCGGATTTTGAGCTTTTAAAAACTGTTCATACAGAAGAAATACCAATTGTGTTATAAAAGTCGCACGTAAATCGGTTTCTTTGCTGAATTTCGCCGCTAACCTGTGTAATTGTAACCCTGCTTTGCAGCGTAGGCTACATGTGTAAAAGCCGAAGCCGAGCGCATTTACCGGCTCAAACTCCTGCATCACCGGTTTGCGTTAAAATGTTTCACATCTGCTGTGAGTATCCTTAATTTGGCTAACGCTAACCTCACGAGGACGTGCGGTAATTGGCACTACAACACGAAGGTGTCCTCGTGCACGAGTCGGTTATCTCCAGCGCGCGTGCTCCAGCAGACCCATTAACACCTGGAGGTGCAATATGCTTTAAACACAGCCAGAGCCGAGCCACTGACAGACCGAAACCAGCTGAACGTTCGGGTATTTAGTCGGTCTACACGAGAGAGATACTTTGCTTTGTTTTGTTTTTTATTGATTTCAGACAATAAAAACTGTCTGTTTACCTGCTATTAAATCATGTGCTGTATTTTGTGGCTCTGACTTGTGTCTCCTGCGAGCGTCAAATGCTTTGTTGTGGAGGGCAAACGGCGTGTTTATTGTGTTCTCCCTAATGTGGGAAAACCATCACGGGCGGGAGCAACTGCTGATCTGCAGGTTTAGTCAAACACTTTCCGATGCAGTTTGGGATATTTGTTTTGGGACAAAATTCAATTTCATGTCCTCTCTGGCATCATTCTGAGCAAATCTATCTGATTTATAGGTTGTATTCTTATCCACTTCACAGCGCCTTTAAAAAAAACAAGTTTCCTGTTGACCTGTTTGATCTTCATTTAGACAGATGCCCCTCTAATGAAACCTAATCTGATTTCAACTTTAATTGATTTACTTAGTCTTGTGTGGGCTTTTCTTCGTGCGGTTAAAGCTTAGAGGCGCACAAAGGAGCATCCTGTCCAGAGATCAGCGCAGCGGGACTAACACCTCCTTTGATAGATGTTTTCAAACGCACTTTGAAGGAATTCCTGTAGGATTTTTGATAAGGAGACTTAAAGAGACACACGATATTTCAAGTCGCTATAAACATGAAGCTGTGGATGAGTTTGTGAGTTTTGACGCACAAACACAGAAAAACATACATTCTTTAAAATGTCTTCTTTTATTTGTGTCCTCTGTCATTTTTTTAAAACTTAAGGCATTTCAGCGATGTGAAGGGAAAACGAGAGCAGTTACATTTTCAAATAAAAGGGGATGATTGCAGGACAATCACCGCTACTTTATCCAGGACGGGTAAGCGTTGGGCTGTGACCTATCACATCCAGCGTGCATTGAAATGCTGATCGGGGGCAGTTCCCAGTTTTGAGTGGATCTTTTTTTCAAATGCAGATAAGCACACAATCGAGGCTGTTATCGCACTGATCACACCTGGCGGTAGCCTATTCAGACAGTTTCATCAAATCTGTCACCAAAACCCAGAACGTGGATTTCAAAGTTTCTCAAGGCTAAATAAATATCAGCCCCCCTCCCCTCACCACCAGAGACAGTTTCCGTGATGCTGTCCTTTCAGTGGCTTTGATGACACAAACAACAGCAAAACACTTGCTGGCTGAATATCCCCAAGATCTAAATGATGGAGATGCATCAAGACACTGGCTGAATATATCCAACATGCTCCTTTTACAGAACCTTGTTAGTATATGTTCTAAGTATAGGTCTTTGGTGGAAATAGACCACATCAAATATACCTCAACAAAACTGGCAAACCTACATTACTCAACCAGACCATTTTACCATCTGGACGTTAATATAGTTTAATATATTTGTATTTATATAATGTATTTACTTTAATTAGTTTACTTATTCTATGTGTGTTTAATTATCAGAATAAGATTTAAGAAGTTTGGAATAGTTTCAGTTTATTCTTAAATCACAAATCAACTCAAATACAAGGTCCAACATAATATTATATAAAGCTTATAAATGGGGACTCAAACTTTAGATAACATGGACCAAATACATATATAATTTTCAGCATATATTATCATCCTACCCTAAATCAATGCAAATATCCTAAAATAACCCAAGGATCCTCACATATAAATAACACCAATCCAATAGTTTTAAAAGGTCTTTATCATACAGGGTTTTAGTAGCAACTGCTTTGAAGCTCATTCTAAAATTGTGGATCTCTACAGTTTACACTAAAACTTGTATAATTAACTTTGCATTTATTTCCCCTCAGAAGCATTTTTTTTTGCATCGTATCTGTGAGAGGAATAATCTATAAGTCTTACATTATTTTACATTACACAAGCATTCAGAAAAATGTTGCATTCAGTTAACTAAAGATTTGTAACTATGAAAAGAGGATCCGCCGGAGCATCCAGCTATATAACTTTGGTTTGTAAAGTCTGTAATCTGTATGTAGGGTAAGTAATGCACCATAAAACAATACAGCAATTTCAGTGAGGCTCCGAGTCAATTTAAACCCGGTAAAAGGTCTCACTTTAACAAATAAATCAACATATTTAGATAATTTCTTAGTAAGGCTTTTAGTTAGAAATGATTCAATGCAAAAATGTAAATCTAATTTTTGTTATTTTTTTCTGGCTTCTGTTTGAACAAAACACAATAAAATTTGTTGAAAAGGAAACGCACTAGATTTAAACCAGACATTCACCTTTATCGATCCCTCATTTATAATATGTTGGACATTTAAATAGTAGCAACATTACTTCATATAGTAGCAACATTACTTCATGCCAGAGAAATTAACGAAAAAAGCTGTCGGCATATCAAAGAATAAGAAAAGACCCTAATGTTGACCCCCCCTCCCACAGGTGTGTGTGTGTGTATATATATATATATATATGAAACTAAAAAGCAAAACCAGGTGTGAAATGGAATATATATATATATATATATATATATATATATATATATATATATATATATATATATTCCATTTCACACCTGGTTTTGCTTTTTAGTTTCCTATAGCCTTTTCTTTGACGTGGGAGGATTTTGTGGATTGGATGGTGCCGCACCCTGAAGGAGTCTAGACTCTGGACAGTGTGTGAATGGGCGCCATTGTTTGCTCCTCTACCCCTGAAAAAAAACTGCTCTGATGATTCGCCTGCCTATCAGCATCACAAAGGATGTCATAACTGTCGATCGTTGTGGTTAACTATCCTGTGGCCGTTTCATCTACAAGTGCAGCAGCTTTAAAAGCTTCACACGATACAACAGGCCACTCTGGGAGGTTTGAGCAAACTGTGTCTTTATTGAAGACTCAGCAAACACATTCATGAATTATTTCTCACACACAGTGGCTCAAATATATACACACGTTCGAGCCAAAAAAAAG